TGTCTTATACCCCAGATAGGAATCCCATGGAGCCCATTCGTATGAAACTGACTGTAAAGACTTTAGCTCCATGGCGATTAAACTGTATTCGTGTGGTCTGAGCGCCATTCACTTAATAATGTGCGCTCGGACCTGAGCTATCTGGGGATATGTTACATGTCTGTGTTTTATGTAATAAATGTGACTTTATGTATTTTAAAGTGTTTTGTGTCTCTTTGCAACCATGTGCTTAATGGAGTCTTGTGTCTGTCCTGGGAGATAATTGAATTACTTATCTCCAGGATAGAAGACTCTGAAACTGGTTTGGGCCAGAAAGCCATGCTTCATTTAGTCACAAAGGACTTTTTACTAACTTTTGAACCCCTTGTCTGATTTGTGCCATTTTTGAATATGTTGTTCCCCTGAATGGATTGATTGAGAATATGTAATTTTATGTGAATGTGATGTATGGTTTTGGAGTTATGAAAGTTGGGTAGAAAGTATGTTTTAACTGTTTGTATAATTGAGTTTCCTCTCAGGATAAGGGGAGGGAATATGTGGGATGTAACTGTGATATGATTGGTTGTTTTATCCCTCCCTGTGGGTGGTCCTGTATTTGAAACACTGTAATAAAAACCAGGCTGGGTGTGCCAGCACCTCAGACCACTGCTTGACCCTCAACACGGAGCCTTGTCTCGTTCTTGGGGGGATTCACTGTATGCTGTTAGAGACTGATTGCCAGGAGTGTAAGCTGTTCGTCTGCTTTTCCTGTTCGTCTGCTAGCAGCTATTTGGGAGGTTCCAGTTCGGGAGTTGGAGTGCTATTTTGTATCCAGTTCGTGAGTTTTGGTGTTCTGCAGTAGCTGTGCCTGGATCTCTGGAAAGGGGGCCGATCGCCTAAACGGTTTTTACCCCTTGTGTGCAAAACGGTCCGTTACAATTGGTGGCAAGCGGCGGGATCGTTCCCACGGACTACAGGACAGCTACAGGAGACACCATTCCGTGGATTTACAATTTGAGGGCAACGCATGTCCCAGTACAGCGACCCTGACAGCAACAGCATGGAACCAGCAGTGGCGTACAGCTACTCAAGGAGAGAGTTTGACAATATGATCGGATTGCGGCTGAAGTACTACGGCCCCAATCCACCGGAGAAATCGGTGCAGCTTATAAGGAATCTAGTGTTCAAGAATCTGCAACACCGGGCAGAAAGAGAAGGTCAGCTGGCACGTTGGGAAGAACTCCAGCGACAGGTACTGCAGGGAATTGGGAGCACAGTCTCCATTCCCCAGCGGCAGAGTGAATTGCAGGGAATTGGGAGCCCGAGCTCCATTCCCCAGCGGGAGATATTGCAGGGAATTGGGAGCCCAGTCTCCATTCCCCAGCGGGAGAGTGAATTGCAGGGAATTGGGAGCCCAGTCTCCATTCCCCAGCGGGAGAAATTGCAGGGAATTGGGAGCCCGAGCTCCATTCCCCAGCGGGAGATATTGCAGGGAATTGGGAGCCTGAGCTCCATTCCCCAGCGGCAGGCTGAGTTACAGGGGACAGAGATAGTTGCTCCTGTCCCCCAGCAGCAGAATGAATTGCAGGGAATTGGGAGCCCAGCTCCATTCCCCAGCGGGAGATATTGCAGGGAATTGGGAGCCCAGTCTCCATTCCCCAGCGGGAGAGTGAATTGCAGGGAATTGGGAGCCCAGTCTCCATTCCCCAGCGGGAGAAATTGCAGGGAATTGGGAGCCCGAGCTCCATTCCCCAGCGGGAGATATTGCAGGGAATTGGGAGCCTGAGCTCCATTCCCCAGCGGGAGATATTGCAGGGAATTGGGAGCCCAGTCTCCATTCCCCAGCGGCAGGCTGAGTTACAGGGGACAGAGATAGTTGCTCCTGTCCCCCAGCAGCAGAATGAATTGCAGGGAATTGGGAGCCCAGTCTCCATTCCCCAGCGGCAGTGTGATACGCAGGGAATAGGGAGCCCAGTCTCCATTCCCCAGCGGCAGAGTGTCCTACCGGGAATAGAGAGCCCAGTCTCCTTTCCCCAGCGGCAGAGTGTTATATTGGGAGAGGAGCCTGTTACCCCCTCTCCCCAGCGACAGGGCTGTCTAGCCAAAGGGGAGACAGTCGGTCTCCCCCTCCAGCAGCAGAGATGGGTAACCAAAGGGGAGACGGTCGGTCTCCAGCAGCAGGACTGTGCATCTAAAGGGGAGACAGTCAGTCTCCAGCAGCAGCAGCAGAGCGGTGTATTTAAAGGGGAGACAGTCGGTCTCCCCCTCCAACAACCAGGCTTCCACCAGGCTACCCTCCCAGTAGCGCTGGCAACAGGGCAGAGTGCCGCTGGTCTCTGCCCACGCAGCAACCCACCAAGTCAGCGTACCCGTACCCAGCACAGCCGTGGTGAGGCACCTGGACATGGACAAGCTTCCCCTTTACCCAGGTGTAGTAACCATTTATTGTGGGTGGGCTGTGCTGTTGATTATTTGTTGTGGGTGGGCTGCTGGACTAACAAGGGCACTGACCGGCAGGAGGTCAGATACCCTGTTAGTCTGTTTGGAAAAGGGGAGAGATGTGACGAGACCAATCTCGCCACATTGCATTGGAGAAGCCTGGTTGCTCGCCTGCTGCCTTTGGACTATGGCCCCCTTTTGAAAGACTTTATTTTTCCATGCAGAAAAGCCATATTCATGCTTTTCTGCCGGTTGTTCGGTAGTTTCAAACTACCGAACAACCGTACGAATGACTGGACCACCTGGGAGCTGGAGTGTGCCAGCAATTAACCTCCCTGAAGCTGCGGTTAACCGCAGCTTAATTGATGAACGCTGGGTGGCCGCCGTTCGTATCCCGAACACGAGGTCGCGGCCATTTTAAACCATACGAATGAACAGCGGTGTTCGCCTCTATTTTCATGGAACTAAAATCGGACACAGTTTTGCGCGAACACCGCTGAAGCCGCCGACCTCCCTTCTTGTTCGGTGAAAGCACACGAATGACCCGGTGTTCGGTATTTTTGTGTGAATGTCTTATACCCCAGATAGGAATCCCATGGAGCCCATTCGTATGAAACTGACTGTAAAGACTTTGCTCCATGGCGATTAAACTGTATTCGTGTGGTCTGAGCGCCATTCACTTAATAATGTGCGCTCAGACCTGAGCTATCTGGGGATATGTTACATGTCTGTGTTTTATGTAATAAATGTGACTTTATGTATTTTAAAGTGTTTTGTGTCTCTTTGCAACCATGTGCTTAATGGAGTCTTGTGTCTGTCCTGGGAGATAATTGAATTACTTATCTCCAGGATAGAAGACACTGAAACTGGTTTGGGCCAGAAAGCCATGCTTCATTTAGTCACAAAGGACTTTTTACTAACTTTTGAACCCCTTGTCTGATTTGTGCCATTTTGAATATGTTGTTCCCCTGAATGGATTGATTGAGAATATGTAATTTTATGTGAATGTGATGTATGGTTTTGGAGTTATGAAAGTTGGGTAGAAAGTATGTTTTAACTGTTTGTATAATTGAGTTTCCTCTCAGGATAAGGGGAGGGAATATGTGGGATGTAACTGTGATATGATTGGTTGTTTTATCCCTCCCTGTGGGTGGTCCTGTATTTGAAACACTGTAATAAAAACCAGGCTGGGTGTGCCAGCACCTCAGACCACTGCTTGACCCTCAACACGGAGCCTTGTCTCGTTCTTGGGGGGATTCACTGTATGCTGTTAGAGACTGATTGCCAGGAGTGTAAGCTGTTCGTCTGCTTTTCCTGTTCGTCTGCTAGCAGCTATTTGGGAGGTTCCATTTCGGGAGTTGGAGTGCTATTTTGTATCCAGTTCGTGAGTTTTGGTGTTCTGCAGTAGCTGTGCCTGGATCTCTGGAAAGGGGGCCGATCGCCTAAACGGTTTTTACCCCTTGTGTGCAAAACGGTCCGTTACACCCAGAAACTAAATAAATTAGTCACTGTAATGTAACTGAATGAGAAGTCTTTGCAAGGCAGGTGCTCTGGGCAATTGCTGCCTCTTGAGTTTAGCTCCACTGAGCTAAACAAACCAGGAAGTAACAGGTATGGTTGTCTGGCAGGCAGGAATGTCACAGGGTTAATTTATAAAAGTGACAAAAATTTGAAATCTGCACATTTTGTAAAATTAAATAAACAAGACACACTCTTCACACATAATACACTTCAGCAAGTTAATGTGCTTTCGTGGCCTGGAGTGTCCCTTTGACAAAGTTGACAAAATGAGTTAAGTATTTTCTTTCCATATTGGCAGTCACAAGTCAGACATTACAAGGAGCACTGTATCTGTTACTTAGGTCTTGGGGTGTGCCTTATTAAGGGTAAATTAGTTAGTAAGAATTCATAAGAATATTCTCTTTTTTTTTCATTTAGCTGGAAACAGCATGTTGAATTGTTAACATAGGGCTCACCTAATGTAACACTTCTTTTCAGTGACTAGTTGGCATTTATTACTCTTACTGGTATTTTATAGTTAATTTCTCGAAATACAACGCTATTTGATATTCTTGTAGAGCCATGTTATACAGATTTAGTCATCCATTTCCAATAATTCTTGGTGAAGTAAGGTCGTTGTCAATGTTGTCCATAGCATGGCGTACAATTTGTAGATGAGTTCTGTTATTAAGGAATAATTTGTCATCCTTATGTCAAGATGCTTGTTCCAATCTATATCTGATAATTTGGTGCTCAGAATGGATACAGGATGTGCCAATAATAGGACTCGTATGGTGAAATGATTATGATTATGATGATTAAGATAAAAAGGGAAATTTAATTTTAGTAACACTATTTATCATGTCTGCCATATGTAATGCTCCAATAGTGTGTTCTGAAGGAGAAGTTTGCATGTTCCTGTCTAAAATTAGGGTTTCCCAAAATTGGTTCAAAAAGGGAATAGGTAGGTTTCTAGCAAGTTTCAATGCTTTGGTTATAAGGTCAGTTGTCAAGTATTTCTTCCCTGGTGTTTGGTTTTGGGGCTTGTAAAAGAATGCCATTAAAGGACCACTATAGTGCCAGGAAAACATACTCGTTTTCCTGGCACTATAGTGCCCTGAGGGTGCCCCCACCCTCAGGGACCCCCTCCCGCCCGGCTCTGGAAGGAGGAAAGGGTTAAAAACTTACCTTTTTCCAGCGCTGGGCGGAGAGCTCTCCTCCTCCTCCTCCTCCGTTCCTCCTCCTGGGCTGAATGCGCACGCGCGGCAAGAGCTGCGCGCGCATTCAGCCCGTCGCATAGGAAAGCATTTACAATGCTTTCCTATGGACGCTTGCGTGCTCTCACTGTGAAAATCACAGTGAGAAGCACGCAAGCGCCTCTAGTGGCTGTCAATGAGACAGCCACTAGAGGATTAGGGGGAAGGCTTAACCCATTCATAAACATAGCAGTTTCTCTGAAACTGCTATGTTTATAAAAAAATGGGTTAACCCTAGAAGGACCTGGCACCCAGACCAATTCATTAAGCTGAAGTGGTCTGGGTGCCTAGAGTGGTCCTTTAAGGAGAAAGGTGGTTTTACGGACACATCTTTTGTATCTAGTCTATGGCAAACCTTAGAAGGCTGCATAATCATATTGTTTCTGTAGTCTGATAAAGTGCACCCAATAGATTTAACAAGTGTAACAAAGATAGTGAACTTGGGTTGAAGTTGAGGTTGGAAGTATGAGTTACTACAGCTAATGCTCATCCAATTAGAAATCTTAATGCATGGTGTTATAACATGAAAGGATGGAACGTTTAGAGTCACTAGGATAGATTTTTCATGAGTAGATTTGTCTCAATTAAGTAAAGGTATTGGCCAGTGCTGAATCTTCAACTTGGTTAAGGGATTTGAAAGCTGAATTCCGAGATTAAAGGAGAGGATTATCCACATAAATAGTGTAAAAGATGGCCACTAAAGGTCCAACAACAAGGATTTTAAAACGTTATACTATGTGGCCAGGAAACAATCTTGACCCCTTCATACCCAATTTAAAGGAACACTGTAGCATTAGAAATAAAACATACATTTCTATCCCTATTTCTGTACACCCCCCAAGTAAGTAAAGGGTCAAAAATAATTTTGTATGTATCTAAACTCCAGCACCGAGGCTACTTCTGTAACGGCAAGGTTTCCTTCTCCCACAACGTCATGTCGATGGAGAAAACTACTGAACCGTGAGCACCACGCCTGCATTAAAGCTTCCTCATAGGAAAGCATTGAGTTACTGCTTTCCTATAGGGAAATTGAAGACGTTAGACATTACATAGCTGGGTTAAGGGGACAGGGGCACTTCACCCAGACGTCTTCAATCAAATGTACCTAAACCTATAGTGTTTTTTCTACCTTCTCTTTGATTAATGAACCATTATGTTTAACATATCTTGGCAAAATAGTTTTAGATATCCTTTGCTTGTGGATATCTCCTACTTTAAGATTTGAGGTTTCACTTTTTCATTGACAGTGATATATTTAAAATTTTTATTCATTAAAAAAACTTACTGAAATGTAATTGTTTGATATGATTGCAAGGTTTTATTTGTATTCATTGTATTTCATATTTATTGCATGAGTTAATGTGCTAAAACGGCATTTACTTTATCTGTGTAGGTATTGGTGTTTTTATATTTGTTGGTATTGTAAAAACTTACATTTATTCCCATAGCCTTCACCCTTTATTTACAAATGACCCATCAAACAAATTATCTGTAATCTGTCTGACAATATTCATTTGGCCTTAGTCTAAAAGCCGGTAACAAATCCTGGCAGTATTCCATCTCTTGCTTCCCTACAGATGCTTGTGTACAGGACCACATCCTCATATTTTCTTCTGCTTAAACCAGAAACAATTGGCAAGTAAACACCAGATTATGAATTTTTAATGATGCACTGAAAGCCTGGGGTTGTTGATCTCAGTGCCCCTATAATATTTATGCATAGAAACTATGTTCTACTTAAAGACATGCATTTAGTGTGTCTAGGAACACAAATTATGAGAAAAGGTGCTATGAACCTGACAACAAATGTTCTCATACCGCCTTAATTGTTAGTGAGTTGTACAATATTTACACAATAGTTACATAGTAGTATAGGGAGAAAAAAAACTCAAGTCCTGCAAGTTCATCCTTTAACATATCTGTATTACTGTTGTTGATGAAAAATAACCCCAATCTGAATCTATTTCCTACTATGGCACAAACTGGAGGAAAACACCTTCATGGAGCAAGAAGCCCTGAATATTCAGGTTTCATAAAAATACAAAACATCCAGATGTTTAAAAATATGTGCAATATTTGATTTAAAAAAAACAACCTTATAGGTATATAATTCAACATCTTTATTGTTCTTTGTTGTATTTTAAAGAAGCCATTTCCACTGCTGAAGGTTAAATCTCCTTTCTTCAAGTCTATGAGCTTGCACTCTGGGCATACAAAGTACAGAGTGCTGCTAAAGCACTCTATCTAAAGCAACCTAAAGATGTACTAGCACTATGCTAGCTGGGGACAGTTCACTGGTGTCCCTGGACGTGGGACAATAGGGAACAAAATGGGGATGTCTGGGAAAAAAATTAAATTGGGACAGCTGGAAGGCCTGGGATCATAGGCGTGCGCAGCCTATTGTATAAGGGTGTGCACCATAAAGCACAAACACACACGCTGCGTGTATATATATATATATCTATTATACACACACACACACACACACACATACACACACACACACACACATATACTGCTGTGCGTGTGGGCACTGTGTGTGTGTAAGGGCGCTGTGTGTGTGAGGGTGCTATGTGTGTGTAAGGGCGCTGTGTGTGAAGGCGCTGTGTGTGTGTGTGTGAGGGTGCTGTTAGTGTGTAAGGGCGCTGTGTATGTAAGGGCGCTGTGTGTGAAGGCGCTGTGTGTGAGGGTGCTGTTAGTGTGTATGTGTGATGGTGCTGTGTGTGAGGGTGCTGTGTGTGTGTATGTGTAAGGGTGCTGTGTGTGTAAGGGTGTGTGTGCTGTATGTGTGTAGATGCTGTGTGTGGGGGGTGCTGTATGTGGGTGCGATTGTGTGAATTGTGTGGGGGCCGTTTAGTAAATATCCCCCCTCCCTTCCTACCTTATGCCTGGGAGGGGGGAGCCTTTCTGCTGATTTCATCCCTGGTGGTCCAGTGGAGAGTGAACTCTAGCCTGAGGGCCACGGCAACACTCAGAATCCCGCGAGAGGAACCCGGCGGAGCTACTGGCAAGAGTGGGGAGGGAGGCTGAGAGCAGAGCCGGCTCTCGGATAGCGCCGGCTCTGCATGAGCCGACAGGGGAGATCCTGAGATCTCCCCTGTCTGTCTCAATATACATAGGCGTGCCGCGGGATTAGGGTGTGCCCAGGCACACCCGGCACACCCCGTGCGCACGCCTATGCCTGGGATATGCTTGTAGCAATTGGAAGCCATTGATATGAGTATATTGGGACTTACTCAATAAACTGTAAAATTTTTGTGAATTAACAAGGGTGATGCAATTGCAAGCTTGAAATGAGTTAGAGAATAAAAATTACACTGTCAGTTTTTCACAAATCTCAGTGAATAAGCCACTACTAAAGCACTACTGTTTTTTATAAAAGACATTTATGGACAATTCACATTTGTCCCTATGAGAGAATACAAACATTAACTGGCTTCTGCTAGCTTCTAGTGCCTGGAGCTGCAGACCAAAAGATAAAAGAATGGTAGTGAAAGCTTTAGTTAAATGTTTCCCCTCTTCCCCTGGGGCCACCACACACGCAGACTTGTTAGAAGGGGGGGGGGAGGAGTGGGTGCAAAAAAAGGAATGCAAAGCACCTCAAGCCCCACTGTCAGTTTGAGTTTAAAGACACCTCCAAGAATGAAAATGATACATACTTTTTATATAAAAAAAAAAATAGAAAATGAGTCTGCAATAAAACATTATGAAAGTGACCAAAAAGAATATTTTTAAAATTAAAATAAATAAAACAAAATAAGAATCATCCTTTAAAGATAGACCCTGGACTCACTATTAGTGCACTTGCAGTTTGCTCTGGACACACTCAAGTTATGTAACAATTAAAATCTAAGGTCAATGTAAGCTCTGCCAGTGTAAGTGCGCATGGTAATAACATGGAGTATCTTAAGCCTTCAACTGTCCATCAACTGTCGATTTCCAACAGAAGCAACCAAAGTTCTAAGCTCACACTTGTCAGTTTTTATTTGTATTTTTTTTAAAATCTGGATGATTACACCCCAGGAAACTGTCCCCAAAAAGCATAAAGGGAGTGCATCATTAGATACATTCACGCTATGCAGGGCATTACGACCATGCAAAGACCTCTAAAACAGTGATACCTGCAAGGTCCATCCTTGGTGAGTGGCCTACTATCACCCTTAGGATGGTTTCTTTCATCTACTCATTATAATATACAATGGAACTGTTTTATCAAATCCACAACCAAGCAGCACACAGACAAAAAGATCACAGAGAAACATTCTGTGTTTCTTCTTTCAGTAATACAGGCCTCTTGACTTTCAGCAGTTCAGCTCAGGCAGTGCTGCAAGTGGCTGAGACATGTATGCAAGAAATATAGCATGTTAAGCAGGCCAAAAGCAAATCAAACGCATTAAAGGTGTGTTGGTGCCTACAGTATCCTTTTAAGGATGGCTAGTGCATTATGTCTAAGATATAAGAATTACAAAGCAAGTTAAAACTGCACAAAACCAGTAAATAATATATTGACTTCTTAAATAAATGTTTGACATCCTAGCAGCCTAATCTAAATGATCATCTGACATCGTGCTGAATGTAATATCATTAGCTCACAGTTTACATTGGAAAACCTATTTAAAATAATCATGTTCTCTTGTGTAATCTAATATACCTGTAATTTAGTTTCCTAAGTGAGATAGATATGAATAGATAAGCTAATAACATTAAATGTACTTTGGTTGTCAAAAACAGATTTATAATACAGCCATTATTTTTTCCCATACTATTAGGAAAACTCGGCTACAGACCTAGACAGTGGCGGATCCAGAGCCTGATCTTGGGAGGGGCACTTGTAGATTATTTAAAGAAATAATCCAGACACAATAACCACTACAGCTCAGTGTAGTGGTTATGATGTCAATAGTGCCGGGACCCCCTCCCACAGTAAGTAGTCAAACCGTTTAAGAACAGTTTGACAACTTACCTGAGATCTGCTGGGAAATGGGGCCGTAGTAGGGTATAGGAGCAGTGGTGTGTGTGAGTGGTGCAGTGTGTGTGTGTGTGTGAAGGTTGTAGTGTGTGAGTGAGGGCGGCAGTGATTGTC